TGTGTCGCTAAAGTTTCGTCGGAACGAAGTTATGGAAAATCAACTAACGAACGGAGACGTAACAGTATTGTTTTTCACTACAAGGACCAGGATCAAAATATAACAGCATACAAAAGGAAGTTGGGTAACCTTGGCCTTATCTATGGATTATTACACATTAGTAAACAGGATCATAATCCATTTATCTGTAAATGTAAATATATAAAGCAGAAGTGTCGTCTGTCTGTGTGTCCGCCTTTCATGCCCACAGTTTTTCACGGATCTCGAACCAAACTAGACATGTATCCTTAGAGCCCCATGGGGAGTGACACAGGGGTCGATGTTCGAATATACCCTCTCCCCCCGTCACTCTCTGGAGATCTCTATGTTTTCTCCCTGCATGTACGTTAGCTAGTTATAAGACAAAATGTTAGATCAATGCATATATATATAAACTAAAATTTGTAAAGACCATAAGTACCAAGCATGTTACAAATCATTGGCTAATATTTACCGTAGTTTGTTTGTAATTAAGCACAAAGCTACACAATGGGCTATCTGGGCTCTGCCCACCACAGGAATCAAAACCCGGTTTCTAGCGTTGTAAGTCCACGGAACTCACCGCTGTGCCACTAGGTGGCACAAAAGTGGTAAATCGAAACTTAAATCAAAATAAATTATATAGCTGTAACTGTGGGAGTTTAATTAATTAATCAAATAAATTATATAGCTGTAACTGTGGGAGTTTAATTAATTAATCAAAATAAATTATATAGCTGTAACTGTGGGAGTTTAATTAATTAATCAAATAAATTATATAGCTGTAACTGTGGGAGTTTAATTAATAATTAAATAAATTATATAGCTGTAACTGTGGGAGTTTAATTAATAATCAAATAAATTATATAGCTGTAACTGTGGGAGTTTAATTAATAATTAAATAAATATTAAATATGTTTTCATACAAACGAATTTTAATGTAACATCGAATAATTACAATACCGAACTACAAACTTCAAGATATATTAATATTCAACATGTATGTATTAGGTCGAAATTTGGAGCTATGACGTGGCAAATGAAGGAAATTATTAGCCAATCTAACAAACAACCACCTCCAAATCTAAATGATTTTTTTTTATCAAGATATAAACTATTTGTATCAGTTATTATAGAATGTATAAACACATATTCAGAAATTCACGTTTCTCTTAAGGTAAAGGGTTTTGATGTGTTACAAATGTCTGTAGCTCCCCTTACAATGAATTCGACTGTTCTTCCAAATTCGTCGACGTGTTACCATGGCAACAAAGGCCAGGCTGGAATACTTATTCAATTATTGATTACCGTATAGGCTCATTACAAGCTGGTAAGAAGGTATTTAAGATTTTTACAAACGTTTACAGCCCCCCCTCCCAAAGTTTGTTTTTCAACGACAACTAAAAAAATCAACCAACTAAAAGTGAGTAATTAATAATAAAAACAAAAGAACTATATAATTCTAACTTTTAAGTTAACAACAAAAAAAAACAGAATATTTTCGATTCTTTAGTTGACGTCACTGACGCATGTTCAGTCGAAACGTCGCAACGAAATCATTCAGAGTAGACGCGCGTGTTTCGCTAGCCTCACTACACGAGAAGGACGGCAGAATTGAGGTGTTCTTCCGTTAACGCTAGTTGTTTACGACCTAACGTTATTTTTTAAATTTTATGAATTTTTTAAGTGTACATTTTTATAGCGTTTTTAACAGCCTTAAAGCTGTTAGCTTGTGGCCGTCACTCAAGGTTGTCAAGAAAAGACTGCGACCGGACTAAGTGTAAACTATATTGCACGCACAATGAACAGCTGATGCAGAGAGTAATTTGTTGCCATATTTTGATATCAGACAGGGAATGCTGTTTCGTAGTCGTCATGTCAACGGAGGTCAGTTTTACTAAGCGAGCCGCTGCGGAATTAAATCGATGCTTTAATGGTCTGTCTGTTCGAGGAAAGGCCAACAATGGCCGCGGAGGGGTACCAACCGCCTCGAATACAGCTGGTCAGACATCAATCAGTCGATATGGCGATAAAAAGACATCGCGCGTGGACAAACTTTCTGAAATAAAAGAGTATCTAGCAGCAATAAAAAAACCACGGACGCTGAGTGACTTGTGGCAAGATTCGGGATTTCTTGGGATGTTCTTTTGGTATTTTGTGGCCTATGATCGGAACACGTTAGCGCAAGTTTGTCAAGTCTGGCGAGATATACTATACCAGCCGAAATATTGGAGGAGGGTTCTCCCCATCCTCCGGTGTCGGGAACTGCGTTCATCTTCGGGGGATCTGGCAGCTACGTCCGAACTAAGAAAACGGGTGTATCTAAGCCTAGAGCGCCGTGGTTTTGACTCGGCTTGTCTGTTTGGCGCCAATGATGAGGATGTGTACGACTTTGTGAGTAACTGTCCAGCTTCTCACGTGCGACACTTACGTCACGTAGCGCTACGTTGCTGTAATGTGACAGACAAGGGTCTTGAAGCCTTGCTGGAAACTTTACAAGCCGTGACCCAGCTGGAACTGTTTGGTTGTAATGAGATTACCGATGCAGGACTGTGGGCAAGTTTCAGCCCACGCATCGTGTCCTTGACGTTAGCAGACTGTATCAATATAGCAGACGAAAGCGTAGCTGCAGTGACCCAGCTACTTCCATCACTGTACGAACTCAATATACAGGCGTACCACGTGACAGATGCCGCTTTGGCGTTTTTTGGACCTCGCCAGAGTGCAACTGTCATTATTCTTCGTCTCCGATCTTGTTGGGAGATCACTAACCAAGGCCTCCTTAATCTCGTCCACGCTCTTCCCAATCTGAGTGTACTATCGCTCTCGGGTTGCTCCAAAATAACCGATGATGGAGTGGAGTTGGTAGCTGAAAATCTACGACAACTGAGGTCACTTGATCTGTCTTGGTGTCCCCGAATCACAGATGCCGCATTGGAATACATTGCTTGTGACCTGACTCAATTAGAGGAGATGACCTTAGATAGGTAAGCCTTAAGAGGTATATGTTACAAGATACAATGTGGTCGAAACGGTGAACAGAAGTCTTATGAATGTCAGTTTCACCAGTTTTTTACTATGATTAATTATTTGTACAATATGATATGATAGCACTAAATGTATGCATGAAAATGTTCTAGGACTAAAAGAAGTAAATTGAATTATGATAAAACAAAAATATGAGTATGAAAAAATAGGATACACCTGAGTAAACTGGATATAGAGAGTAAAACGAAACGTTTTGCGAAAATTGGGAAAAGGAACTAGTTAAAATAGATATCAATAAGGAAAATTATCATAAAAAATCCAGAGCAGGAAAATATGTAGAATTAAAAAGGTGGCATTTAAATAAATATATGTAAATATTTAAATAAATATTTGTAAAAAGTGGGTAAGTTGATTTGGGTAAAGATGGACGGGAAGAAAAGTAAGACAGATATGGTACTGCTTTGTGGGTAAGTTGATTTGGGTAAAGATGGACGGGAAGAAAAGTAAGACAGATATGGTACTGCTTTGTGGGTAAGTTGATTTGGGTAAAGATGGACGGGAAAAAGTAAGACAGATATGGTACTGCTTTGTGGGTAAGTTGATTTGGGTAAAGATGGACGGGAAGAAAAGTAAGACAGAAATGGTACTGCTTTGTATGCTCAGAATGCTTTTGAACACACAAGAAAACTAAATTTTAAATATTGGAATACCTTGATAGATTGTTTAAGTAGAGTATTCATGATGAGTAAACTGAAATTGATGGCAAATGCCTGTTTTAAAAAAACGTGTAGAGGACGACGTTTCAAAAGTCTTTCGTCTTCAGGACAAGTACTTGAGAATGATCGAAACGTCGTGTCTGTCTAAAAACATATCTTAATTACTGTAAAAGCTGTAACTCGTAAAAAATATACATTATTCATTGTTCAAGAACCCCTTTCTGCTATTCTCTTTACAAATTCTTATTTTAGTTAAATGGTATATTAGGCTCTTATATTTCTAGAAAACTTCTTTTCGTAACCAGTGTTTCTATTTTCAAACCTAAAGTTTACTGAGTTCATTGGTGCATATGTGAAACCGATTCGCGGCGTTTCTGCCTATAAAATAATGAAACACAAAATCATATGAGCTAGCAGAAAAGCCGTGAAGTGAAACCGGAATTGTTGGAACAATACTGAAACTTTAAAATTAAACCGGAATTGTTGGAATAATACCGAAACTTTAAAATTAAATGTGAATTGTTGGAACAATACCGAAATTTTAAAATTAAACGCGAGTTGTCGGAACAATACCGAAACTTTAAAATTAAACGTGAATTGTTGGAACAATACCGAACCTTTAAAATTAAACCGGAATTGTTGGAATAATACCGAAACTTTAAAATTAAATGTGAATTGTTGGAACAATACTAGGCCTTTAAAATTAAACGTGAATTGTTGGAACAATAGCGAACCTTTAAAATAAAAACTGGAATTGTTGGAACAATACCGAACCTTTAAAATAAAAACTGGAATTGTTGGAACAATACCGAAATTTTAAAATTAAACGTGAATTGTTGGAACAATACCGAACCTTTAAAATGAAACCCGAATTGTTGGAACAATACCGAAACTTTAAAATTAAATGTGAATTATTGGAACAATACCGAACCTTTAAAATGAAACGTGAATTGTTGGAACAATACCGAACCTTTAAAATGAAACCTGAATTGTTGGAACAATACCGAAGTAGGTGGGAGTGAATAAGGATGTAAGTTAAACACTACGTCCGATAAGATACCATAAATACCCTTATATATTTGTGTTCTTTTGTACATTATTTTAAAATTTCATAATGCAGACTAGAGTCTTTAGTGCACAAAATCATGAATGAATGGGGAAAGACTTTACGCCCCAGCGGAAACACAGCAGGAATTATTGTACATTTTTAACACCTACGTAATATTTCTTACGTTTCTATAACATAGATGGCTCTCAGATAATACGCCCACACACACTCTATGTAAACACATTATAAATTTTATTTTAGTAATTGGTCGTCTAACTGTAAAATAAAAATATCAAATAGAATTAGAAAACACGAAATGTTGAATTTCACATAAAATTCAGGGGCAATCTTTAAAAATTAAAGTGGTTAACGTATAGCTAAAAACCAGTACATTAGCCTTTATTTATCTCATATGGAACTAACGAGCTTGTACCTTGGCAAACTGTGATCTGGATATTCGAATTTAAAAAAATTTTGATCTTATTAGATAGGCCTACATGGGGAGCAAACTTACTGTGACGTTAATTCAATGTTGAACCAATTAGGCTTAATAATGTTTTTTTTTTGCTTGTTTTTCAGTAATATATTTCTGCTATTTTATAAATGTTTCTACAAGTATGTAGGAACTGTTTACATTATTCTAATCGAATGATGTATATAAAATCATAATAAAATAATTTTGAAGAGATATAGAGTTTGGTGGCCGGGCATAGCGTACTGATTAGATACTGATTAGACTTTGAATTCGAGGGTCCATGGTTTCGTGTCGCAAAATCTTATTTCACACTTTGAGGCCATGGGTGTATTATAGGAGTGACAGTCAAATCCCACTATTCGATTAAAGACGACCAAAAATCTTATTTCACACTTTGAGGCCGTGGGGGTGTTATAGGAGTGACAGTCAAATCCCACTATTCGATTAAAGAAGACCAAGAGTTGACGGTGGGTGCTGTTGAATAGCTGCCTTACTTCTAGTTCAGAATTAGGGATAGCTAGTGCATATTGCTCCTCCCACATCATTTGGATAATTGATTTTATACGTCTGTTAATCAACATTTTGGGTGATTTCAAAAGTATTGCATATGACAGAGGGTGCTGCTGGTTGCATATTTTAAACCTTCCATTTTTGTTCTGATTTTCCTCAGTTAGTCCATCATTTTTCCTACTTACCCACGAAAAGTAGGAACAGCTAGCCATCTGATCTATCTCCATCTTGTATCAACTCCTTGTAATAACAAATTATAATATAGTAAATTTCTACTTGTTCGTAAAAACATAAATTATTAAAACTTGTATAACACGCTAACATTTTCGCAGTTCGTGTTTAAGACTAAAATTACACACCTAAGGACTACAAAAATATAAGAAGAAAAACAAACACTAACCAGTTTTTAAAATAAGAATTAATGTAATAGTTCTAGGTTTTTTTATTTCCGAGAAAGGATTCGCTACGTTGCGTGAGTTAATGTAATTAATATATAAATTAAAAAGATCCTTGTGCGTATATGTTTAATCTGTCCCTTTACAAACGTCTGCTCTGCACAGCTAATGGGAATTCTAAGAAGCCGAAAAGCGCAGCACAAAACTTTCCAATCCCATTTCAAACACTTACTTGAAGGTTTTTAAAATGTATTTTTAAACTGTTGAACGAGCAACAAGAGACAATTTTTCTAACGTTTCACAACTACCGTATGATCTTATGTATTTGCCTACACAAATATAAAAATATTCGTCTGTTTGAGGAATAAATCATGAGAGATTTATGTTTGTAAACTTGTACGATTTACCAATTTTTACGTTTCGGACGAGTCGCTGATTTCGAGAGTTTTAGTTGGATAGTTTTGTTTGTCTGACACTTGGAAAATTTTAATAAAAACAAAGTAAAAACGAATTGAAATTTATATGTTGCCGTTTATATTGAAATCGATGTGAGTTAGGGTAGTAATATTTGGATGATTTTTGTTTTATACAAGAACAGAAGTTATTTTATCAAGACTAACAACGTTGCCTGAAAATATAAAAAAAACAGGTTTGTCATTCATTTCATGTACGGATGAGAGAACTAGAAAAGTGGAAATACACATTTATTAGTGTATTATTATAACCATATTATGTTTATCTGTCTTCAAGTAGAACTAAAAACCTGGCGTAGTATTCTGTTTATCTGTCTTCTAGTAGAACAACAAAGCTGCCGTAGTATTCTGTTTATCTGTCTTCTAGTAGAACTACAAACCTGGCGTAGTATTCTGTTTATCTGTCTTCTAGTAGAACTACAAACCTGGCGTAGTATTCTGTTTATCTGTCTTCAAGTAGAACTACAAACCTGGCGTAGTATTCTGTTTATCTGTCTTCGGTAGAACTACAAAATTGTTGTAGTATTCTGTTTATCAGTCTTCTAGTAGAACTACAAAATTGTTGTAGTATTCTGTTTATCTGTCTTCGGTAGAACTACAAAACTGTTGTAGTATTCTGTTTATCTGTCTTCTAGTAGAACTACAAAGATGTTGTAGTATTCTGTTTATCTGTCTTCGGTAGAACTACAAAATTGTTGTAGTATTCTGTTTATCAGTCTTCTAGTAGAACTACAAAATTGTTGTAGTATTCTGTTTATCTGTCTTCGGTAGAACTACAAAACTGTTGTGGTATTCTGTTTATCAGTCTTCTAGTAGAACTACAAAATTGTTGTAGTATTCTGTTTATCTGTCTTCGGTAGAACTACAAAACTGTTGTTGTATTCTGTTTATCTGTCTTCTAGTAAAACTACAAAGATGCCATAGTATTCTGTTTATCTGTCTTCGGTAGAACTACAAAACTGTTGTAGTATTCTCTTTATCTATCTTCTAGTAGAACAAAAAAGGTACGGTAGTATTCTGTTTATCAGCCTTCTGGTAGAACTACAAAGACGTTGTAGTATTCTGTTTATCAGTCTTCTAGTAGAACTACAAAGATGTTGTAGTATTCTGTTTATCAGCCTTCTGGTAGAACTACAAAGATGTTGTAGTATTCTGTTTATCAGTCTTCTAGTAGAACTACAAAGATGTTGTAGTATTCTGTTTATCTATCTTCTAGTAGAACAGAAAAGGTGCCGTAGTATTCTGTTTATCTGTCTTCGGTAGAACAACAAAGATGCCATAGTATTCTGTTTATCAGCCTTCTAGTAGAACTACAAAGATGTTGTAGTATTCTGTTTATCTGTCTTCTAGTAGAACAGAAAAGGTGCCATAGTATTCTGTTT